CCTTAACCCTTACTCACTCTCAATCTCTCACTCTCAGTCTCCCTCGGTCTCTCGATCTCTCAGTCTTTCACTCTCACCCTCAAATCAAACCTATCTCTCGGACTCTCACTCTCACTCTCAGATTAGCCCTCTTAACCTTTTTCGTCTTCGCCTCTCTCTCTCAGAGTAGATCAGAGCAGCCTCCTTCGATTAGAGCAGATATACTCTCACCCTCAAGTATGCGATTTTTATTTTTATTTTCTCTTTTTTTGAGTTAATTTTCAGACCTCTTTTCACTCTCAAATGCAAATTTTTCAGAGTTAATTTTCACTCTCAGATTCAATTTTCTACACCTCTTTTCCAACCTGTTATGACATTAAAATTTTTGTCCTCTTTTGTCAAAACAGAAAGTTTCATATGGCATTTGTATTTATGCATATGATTGAATTTTGAATTGAAAATATGCATACAGTGGTTGTGCAGTGGTTATGTTGTGGTAGCAATGGCAGCAGTGGACTAGTTTTGTATTGCCAGCAGTGTTCTGTTTTTCTTACTCTTATGGACTACGTTTTGCTTATGTTTGTGTTCTGTTAAATTGGTTTTGTGCAAAGCAACAGTGTTATATTTTGCACTGGTAGCAGTGTTGTTATTTCTGTTAAACTGGCAGCAATGTTATATTTTGCACTGGCAGCAGTGTTTGTGACTTTCTGTTCTGTATGGTTATGGTTACATTGAATTCTTAATATTATGATTTTTATGTTAAAAATTTGATTGAAGTTGTTGGTTGTTAAATTATTTGAATATTATGTAATATATGTATCAGGTTTAAAACATTAACCCGAAATCAGCCCGTAAAGTAATCTGAAATCAACTCGAAATCATTAACCCGAATTCAACCCGAGTCCACCCAAATTAAACTTGGGCAGTGCTTGGGTTGAGTTTATCAACCTGAGGTAGGGTTAGAATTAGGACTAAAGATTATATACCTAAAGTTGAGTTAGGATTGACTGTTCAACCCGCCCAACCAATCCAAATTGCACTCCTAGCAACTCGACAACCAGCGGGTAGGATTGTGGCTACAACATTTACCTTACTATGCCCAAGATTCTGGTCCAATGAAGGCCCATGAATCCAGTCCATCAAGTAGTCCTGTGGCCCGGTTCATTGGCCTATGAAAGAATCAAAAACTGAAAAAAAAAATGGTAGACTTAGAAAACAACTTTAAAATTTAAAAAAGATAAGTCTATTAGGAATGGTTTTAACCTGCTGGAAAACTATCCGAAACATCTCAGTGAGCGGTCATGGGCCAAAGGGTTTTTAGATGCCTGACCCAATTCAACCCAGATGTTATAAATTCAAATTTTGACAATTTTTAGGGATTAATTCATAAATAATTTATTTTTTATGAATATTCTAATTTCAGCGTAGATTGTCTGTCTTTGACTTGAGCAAATAGAAAATTAGTCGAGATGTGTGTAAGTTAATCCAAACATCCCTAACCGTTGAACCAACCCATTAAACCCAATGACCTGACTAAGACTTAACCAATCAATACATTTAGTGATATATTCTAAGTAATTTAATGTCATTATCTGTGGTAAAAGAGGGATTAGCCTTGAAGACAACTTGCTAAATTTATTTGTGAAAAATAAAACTTGTACCTGGGAGTGAAATTTAGTGATCGTTGTTATTATGCTGTCCATGACTCCAGTGGCCGTGCTCATAGCATCATGGACTGACAGTACATCAGCCTACAAATATGTAGCCATTCAATTTAATTAATTCATTAAATACTTGCTCAGATTAAAAGAGAAATAGATTTAAGGAATAATTGCAGACAGTAATACCCCAAACATGGCATTTGAACACGTGATTGCCATATAAACTTGAAATGCGCATAACACTTAATAATCCACGTACATTTAAACAACTAAAACATTTCTTCCAAGACTCGAGCTTGGAACGTTTATTTTGTCGAGTTATTGTCACTATTAATTGACAAAACTGAAGAGGTTTTGGTAGCAGATACCTTAGCATCTTCGAGTAAATGGAGGTTGATTGATATTGCAGACAGTTTTCGTGTCAACCTGCTCACAGCTTCAACATTTCTGCTCTCCAGTCTTGCCCATTGTTTGAGCAAACAAACTTGTGAACTCATTATCTGATGAAGTTTGATCTCATTCTTGAATCTTTGCATTTGAATTTTCTTGTCTACCATGGAGTTTCTCACTATGAAGATTCTTACCCAAACATTAAACAACTTTTTCTGCAATAACATATATACCATGATATTACTAAGCCTATATACCATGATATTTCTTAGCCTAGAAAAAACATACGATGTGAAAGACAATGTATTATATACTACCAATGAGTAATGCTATATCGACTTAACAAATTGATCTAATTTGTTAACCTCATAATGTGTTTCAAATTCAAATTCCGTTTTTATGAAAATAAACAATAGTTGATGGGACTTTTCTGAAATACTCCATGATGAAGACACGTGTCCTCGATATTACCAAAACATTGTTGCTAAGATCAAGCACCATTGGCTCACAAAGGTCCCTCGCCCCCGAGGTACTCGTCATATGGGATCATGGCATTCAGTATGTTTTACAACCGACACGTAGCCTCGGTCTGATATGGTGCCTCGGTCGGTATACCTCCCTCGGTTCCGAGATGTGCCTTTCCTCGGTGCCGAGAGGTACCCCGTCCTGGACGCCTCCTCTGCTCCAGAATAAACTATTGACGTACAGGTCATTAGCCTAGGCTAGTCTAGGCTATTCATCATGACCTCGTCTTATACAATTGGTGTCAGAACGCATAGGAATACAGGGGTCACAACCAATGGGGGATGGACGTGTGGCATATGATGTCACATCAAAGACAGAAAAATCGCATGTCGTTGCTGACACGCGACTTGGGAAAACAAATGATTAATTACACTATTCCCTTGACGAGACTGCATTCAATGCGGTAAGGCTCGGAAATGAAAGGCAATAAATGTTCCTAATACAGNTATAGTAATCTCGACTTAAATGATTTGTTTTTTATTGGACTGAAAAAAGGATTAATCGAAGTACACGTAAGCTGGGTCAAACACTGTTGTTTGACAAAAAAAAAGAGAATAAAGATAACGAGTAATGCTACTCGTTATCTACGCACAATAGTTAAAGAAATAAATTAGATACTATGATATATAAGAGAATAGAGTAGTGCGAAGGGTAGCTCAAATAGTAATATGGATAAACTGTAAATTCAGATGTCCTGAGTTTGAATGTTTGCAATCCCACGGAAGATTTATCCTTCATAAATACCATAATCTCGACATGAATATTAACCCTTTGGAATTAAGTCACGGAGGATTTATCCCCCATGAATATAGTAATCTCGACATAAATGATTTGTTTTTTACCGGACTGAAAAAAGGATTAATCGAAGTACACGTAAGCTAGGTCAAACACTCTTGTTTGACAAAAAAAAGAGAATAAGGATAACGAGTAATGCTACAAAAACTAAAAAAAATGATTTAAAAACTTGACTTGATGGTATAATTATTATATTTATCATTAATTTAACTGTGGATCCCATTATTTATCGATGATAGGGATTCAAGTCAATTTTTTTTAAGTACATTAAAAAATTTCGGTGGTTTGGAATTATTCTTTCTTGGCAAGAATAATGGCAAACAGCTAAAAGAGATCTTACCCCTGCAACAATCTTAACAGCAGCCATGGCAGCAACCGCTCGAGCATTCACAAACCTCCACTGCAACAGTCTGTTATGCACAACACGAAACCGATGATACCCTTCCTCTTGTATCGGTGGCGTCTTCTTCTGCCTGAAGTACTTCAAAACCCCATTAATACCACCACTGATCAGTTCCTTCTTCAGTACTCGGCCAGAGCTAGGTGAATTTGGAACCATTGAACAAGGCGAAGATCTCCCTGGAGATAACGCCCATGCAGAAGGAGAAGGAGATGTTGACCTTGTTTGCAAAAAATTGACAAAACTGTGTCTCTTTTCTAGAGGCTTATTTTGGGTGCTTGGAGTTTTGGTTAAAGTATTCGAATTCTCTTCTTCTTTGTGTGTTCTTGATCTTGTTGTTGATTTTGATCGGTGGCGAGAGTTTGACGTGAGTGAATGGTTCTGATCCGGTAGCGATATGGCCGGAGTTCCGCTTTTGCTTCGTTGTAGGCGAGGCGAGGGTGGTATTCCGGCAGATTGACGCCTACGGGAGTGAGTGTTCTCCATGTCTTCTTGGCCAGCTAGGTTTCTTTTGTGTCCCTCCAACCTCTCTATGTTATTGTAGTATGTAAAGGAGCAGATTAACGGAATGTAGAAAGAGTCCACCTAACATGTTGAGAAGTTGGGCGCACGTTAAGTGACCAACAACAGCTGACTCTCTCTTTCTAACTCACGGTTCAACCCCGCAGACTATCCATCATTAACTTGGATGGCACCGAAACGCAGTAGTTTTGCCAAATGTGAGAGGGCAAAGCTCTAGAAATCTTATTTGAAGACCTAATTTAGGATTTAATGACGTAGTTTTAATATAATTATTAAATTAATTGTGAGATTCAATGTTATATAGAACTTGCAATCAATTCAATAATTGTACATCATTAAATTCTTAAATTAAGTTCTCAAATTAAGTCTAAATACAATAAATAAGAATAGAACAACGATTTAATAGGTTAGTGTGGACCGACAATTTTTTTACTTTTTTTTTTTCAACAATCAGATGATCAAGTCAATTTACGCATATCTCGATTAATTTTTTCTTAAGTTTGATTAAAGGCAAACTATTTATACTAAGATTAAAGTATTCATGAGATATAATTAGATATAATTTTTTCACGACCTTTTGCTCTAAAAAATTGACAAGTTTCGAACTCACAAGATTTGAATTTATTCAATTGTCCACCGCAGAGACAGGAGAAGAGAAGAAAGTGGCATTTAGAGGAATTTGGAAACACGGAGGAGGAGGAGAAGCAGAGAAACATACAAAATCTACTCTACAGTCTTACAGACACTCTTCTCCCAATGCTTCCTCCAAATACGACTTCCTCATGGTCCTTCTTCTTCTTTAATCGAATCAATTCCACCACAACCAAAACAAACAAACCCTAAAATCCAATTGTTATTTTCACCCATTCACTTAAAATGAAGTCTCTTCAACTGTGTTGTGAGTGTTGTTCAGTTGAAAGTAAGGTCCAATGATCACACCCCTTCCGCCACAATTCAAACCATGAAGTATGGTTGTGTATCAGTGTTGCTACACTATCTATGTAGGGAGAGGCCCCTTTTGCCTCCATTAAGATTTTTTTAAATTAAATACTTGTGTAGTTTAATCAGTTCCAAACTTGAGGTAACTAATCATATATTAGGTTGTGGCATTGAGACTTCTTTTGCACTATAATTTTGAGGTGGGCATGCCCATGTTATGTATTTGTGCTTGTGAACTTTGTTATGTGGTTATTGCACTAAGGTTCCTTTGTCNCTCTCACTCTCACTCTCAGATTAGCCCTCTTAACCTTTTTCGTCTTCGCCTCTCTCTCTCAGAGTAGATCAGAGCAGCCTCCTTCGATTAGAGCAGATATACTCTCACCCTCAAGTATGCGATTTTTATTTTTATTTTCTCTTTTTTTGAGTTAATTTTCAGACCTCTTTTCACTCTCAAATGCAAATTTTTCAGAGTTAATTTTCACTCTCAGATGCAATTTTCTACACCTCTTTTCCAACCTGTTATGACATTAAAATTTTTGTCCTCTTTTGTCAAAATAGAAAGTTTCATATGGCATTTGTATTTATGCATATGATTGAATTTTGAATTGAAAATATGCATACAGTGGTTGTGCAGTGGTTACGTTGTGGTAGCAATGGCAGCAGTGGACTAGTTTTGTATTGCCAGTAGTGTTCTGTTTTTCTTACTCCTATNAACACCCTTTACGAGGGAGATCGGTGAGATGGAGGTTTCAAGAAAGTTTGTCGTGCCGCAGTTCAAAACTTATGACGGGCGGTCCGATCCCGAAGCCCATGTCAGGCAATACAAATAGATGATGTCCCTCTATCATTCGGACCAACGGTTTCTCTGCCGAGTGTTTCCTATGAGCTTGGGGGACTTTGCGATGAAGTGGTTCGAGGCGCTTCCCCCCAACAGTATTGGGTCGTGGAAGGAATTGACAAAGCAGTTCCTGACTCGATTCATTACGGGGAGTAAGCGCCCTCAAAGACGTTGGATCATTGCTGACCCTCAGACGTAGGGAATCCGAGACTCTTCGTCAGTACGCCATCCGATACTAGAAAGAGGTTAATGAGGTAGCANTAACCCGAAATCAGCCCGTAAAGTAATCTGAAATCAACTCGAAATCATTAACCCGAATTCAACCCGAGTCCACCCAAATTAAACTTGGGCAGTGCTTGGGTTGAGTTTATCAACCTGAGGTAGGGTTAGAATTAGGACTAAAGATTATATACCTAAAGTTGAGTTAGGATTGACTGTTCAACCCGCCCAACCAATCCAAATTGCACTCCTAGCAACTCGACAACCAGCGGGTAGGATTGTGGGCTACAACATTTACCTTACTATGCCCAAGATTCTGGTCCAATAAAGGCCCATGAATCCAGTCCATCAAGTAGTCCTGTGGCCCGGTTCATTGGCCTATGAAAGAATCAAAAACTGAAAAAAAAAATGGTAGACTTAGAAAACAACTTTGAAATTTAAAAAAGATAAGTCTATTAGGAATGGTTTTAACCTGCTGGAAAACTATCCGAAACATCTCAGTGAGCGGTCATGGGCCAAAGGGTTTTTAGATGCCTGACCCAATTCAACCCAGATGTTATAAATTTAAATTTTGACAATTTTTAGGGATTAATTCATAAATAATTTATTCTTTATGAATATTCTAATTTCAGCGTAGATTGTCTGTCTTTGACTTGAGCAAATAGGAAATTAGTCGAGATGTGTGTAAGTTAATCCGAACATCCCTAACCGTTGAACCAACCCATTAAACCCAATGACCTGACTAAGACTTAACCAATCAATACATTTAGTGATATATTCTAAGTAATTTAATGTCATTATCTGTGGTAAAAGAGGGATTAGCCTTGAAGACAACTTGCTAAATTTATTTGTGAAAAATAAAACTTGTACCTGGGAGTGAAATTTAGTGATCGTTGTTATTATGCTGTCCATGACTCCAGTGGCCGTGCTCATAGCATCATGGACTGACAGTACATCAGCCTACAAATATGTAGCCATTCAATTTAATTAATTCATTAAATACTTGCTCAGATTAAAAGAGAAATAGATTTAAGGAATAATTGCAGACAGTAATACCCCAAACATGGCATTTGAACACGTGATTGCCATATAAACTTGAAATGCGCATAACACTTAATAATCCACGTACATTTAAACAACTAAAACATTTCTTCCAAGACTCGAGCTTGGAACGTTTATTTTGTCGAGTTATTGTCACTATTAATTGACAAAACTGAAGAGGTTTTGGTAGCAGATACCTTAGCATCTTCGAGTAAATGGAGGTTGATTGATATTGCAGACAGTTTTCGTGTCAACCTGCTCACAGCTTCAACATTTCTGCTCTCCAGTCTTGCCCATTGTTTGAGCAAACAAACTTGTGAACTCATTATCTGATGAAGTTTGATCTCATTCTTGAATCTTTGCATTTGAATTTTCTTGTCTACCATGGAGTTTCTCACTATGAAGATTCTTACCCAAACATTAAACAACTTTTTCTGCAATAACATATATACCATGATATTACTAAGCCTATATACCATGATATTTCTTAGCCTAGAAAAAACATACGATGTGAAAGACAATGTATTATATACTACCAATGAGTAATGCTATATCGACTTAACAAATTGATCTAATTTGTTAACCTCATAATGTGTTTCAAATTCAAATTCCGTTTTTATGAAAATAAACAATAGTTAAAGAAATAAATTAGATACTATGATATATAAGAGAATAGAGTAGTGCGAAGGGTAGCTCAAATAGTAATATGGATAAACTGTAAATTCAGATGTCCTGAGTTTGAATGTTTGCAATCCCACGGAAGATTTATCCTTCATAAATACCATAATCTCGACATGAATATTAACCCTTTGGAATTAAGTCACGGAGGATTTATCCCCCATGAATATAGTAATCTCGACATAAATGATTTGTTTTTTACCGGACTGAAAAAAGGATTAATCGAAGTACACGTAAGCTAGGTCAAACACTCTTGTTTGACAAAAAAAAGAGAATAAGGATAACGAGTAATGCTACAAAAACTAAAAAAAATGATTTAAAAACTTGACTTGATGGTATAATTATTATATTTATCATTAATTTAACTGTGGATCCCATTATTTATCGATGATAGGGATTCAAGTCAATTTTTTTTAAGTACATTAAAAAATTTCGGTNCGGATATGAACGAATGGACTTCCTGGATGCCCGAGCAGGATATCATCAGATCCCTCTCCATCCCCCGGATCAGGAAAAAACGACGTTTATCACTCCGAAGGGAGTTTACTGGTACAAAGTGATGCCGTTTGGACTAAAGAACGCTGGAGCAACATACCAAAGACTGATGAATCGGATGTTCAAAAAGTAGATCGGCAACACCATAGAGGTCTACATTGACGATATGCTGGTGAAGAGCAAACGAAGTTGTGATCATCTGACAGATTTGACGGATACCTTCTCCACCCTCAGGGAGTATTGGCTGAAGCTGAATGCGGCAAAGTGCGTTTTCGGAGTGGAACCAGGTAAATTCCTCAGGTACCTGGTCAGTCAACGAGGAATCGAAGCTANAAAATGGTAGACTTAGAAAACAACTTTGAAATTTAAAAAAGATAAGTCTATTAGGAATGGTTTTAACCTGCTGGAAAACTATCCGAAACATCTCAGTGAGCGGTCATGGGCCAAAGGGTTTTTAGATGCCTGACCCAATTCAACCCAGATGTTATAAATTTAAATTTTGACAATTTTTAGGGATTAATTCATAAATAATTTATTCTTTATGAATATTCTAATTTCAGCGTAGATTGTCTGTCTTTGACTTGAGCAAATAGGAAATTAGTCGAGATGTGTGTAAGTTAATCCGAACATCCCTAACCGTTGAACCAACCCATTAAACCCAATGACCTGACTAAGACTTAACCAATCAATACATTTAGTGATATATTCTAAGTAATTTAATGTCATTATCTGTGGTAAAAGAGGGATTAGCCTTGAAGACAACTTGCTAAATTTATTTGTGAAAAATAAAACTTGTACCTGGGAGTGAAATTTAGTGATCGTTGTTATTATGCTGTCCATGACTCCAGTGGCCGTGCTCATAGCATCATGGACTGACAGTACATCAGCCTACAAATATGTAGCCATTCAATTTAATTAATTCATTAAATACTTGCTCAGATTAAAAGAGAAATAGATTTAAGGAATAATTGCAGACAGTAATACCCCAAACATGGCATTTGAACACGTGATTGCCATATAAACTTGAAATGCGCATAACACTTAATAATCCACGTACATTTAAACAACTAAAACATTTCTTCCAAGACTCGAGCTTGGAACGTTTATTTTGTCGAGTTATTGTCACTATTAATTGACAAAACTGAAGAGGTTTTGGTAGCAGATACCTTAGCATCTTCGAGTAAATGGAGGTTGATTGATATTGCAGACAGTTTTCGTGTCAACCTGCTCACAGCTTCAACATTTCTGCTCTCCAGTCTTGCCCATTGTTTGAGCAAACAAACTTGTGAACTCATTATCTGATGAAGTTTGATCTCATTCTTGAATCTTTGCATTTGAATTTTCTTGTCTACCATGGAGTTTCTCACTATGAAGATTCTTACCCAAACATTAAACAACTTTTTCTGCAATAACATATATACCATGATATTACTAAGCCTATATACCATGATATTTCTTAGCCTAGAAAAAACATACGATGTGAAAGACAATGTATTATATACTACCAATGAGTAATGCTATATCGACTTAACAAATTGATCTAATTTGTTAACCTCATAATGTGTTTCAAATTCAAATTCCGTTTTTATGAAAATAAACAATAGTTAAAGAAATAAATTAGATACTATGATATATAAGAGAATAGAGTAGTGCGAAGGGTAGCTCAAATAGTAATATGGATAAACTGTAAATTCAGATGTCCTGAGTTTGAATGTTTGCAATCCCACGGAAGATTTATCCTTCATAAATACCATAATCTCGACATGAATATTAACCCTTTGGAATTAAGTCACGGAGGATTTATCCCCCATGAATATAGTAATCTCGACATAAATGATTTGTTTTTTACCGGACTGAAAAAAGGATTAATCGAAGTACACGTAAGCTAGGTCAAACACTCTTGTTTGACAAAAAAAAGAGAATAAGGATAACGAGTAATGCTACAAAAACTAAAAAAAATGATTTAAAAACTTGACTTGATGGTATAATTATTATATTTATCATTAATTTAACTGTGGATCCCATTATTTATCGATGATAGGGATTCAAGTCAATTTTTTTTAAGTACATTAAAAAATTTCGGTGGTTTGGAATTATTCTTTCTTGGCAAGAATAATGGCAAACAGCTAAAAGAGATCTTACCCCTGCAACAATCTTAACAGCAGCCATGGCAGCAACCGCTCGAGCATTCACAAACCTCCACTGCAACAGTCTGTTATGCACAACACGAAACCGATGATACCCTTCCTCTTGTATCGGTGGCGTCTTCTTCTGCCTGAAGTACTTCAAAACCCCATTAATACCACCACTGATCAGTTCCTTCTTCAGTACTCGGCCAGAGCTAGGTGAATTTGGAACCATTGAACAAGGCGAAGATCTCCCTGGAGATAACGCCCATGCAGAAGGAGAAGGAGATGTTGACCTTGTTTGCAAAAAATTGACAAAACTGTGTCTCTTTTCTAGAGGCTTATTTTGGGTGCTTGGAGTTTTGGTTAAAGTAATCGAATTCTCTTCTTCTTTGTGTGTTCTTGATCTTGTTGTTGATTTTGATCGGTGGCGAGACTTTGACGTGAGTGAATGGTTCTGATCCGGTAGCGATATGGCCGGAGTTCCGCTTTTGCTTCGTTGTAGGCGAGGCGAGGGTGGTATTCCGGCAGATTGACGCCTACGGGAGTGAGTGTTCTCCATGTCTTCTTGGCCAGCTAGGTTTCTTTTGTGTCCCTCCAACCTCTCTATGTTATTGTAGTATGTAAAGGAGCAGATTAACGGAATGTAGAAAGAGTCCACCTAACATGTTGAGAAGTTGGGCGCACGTTAAGTGACCAACAACAGCTGACTCTCTCTTTCTAACTCACGGTTCAACCCCGCAGACTATCCATCATTAACTTGGATGGCACCGAAACGCAGTAGTTTTGCCAAATGTGAGAGGGCAAAGCTCTAGAAATCTTATTTGAAGACCTAATTTAGGATTTAATGACGTAGTTTTAATATAATTATTAAATTAATTGTGAGATTCAATGTTATATAGAACTTGCAATCAATTCAATAATTGTACATCATTAAATTCTTAAATTAAGTTCTCAAATTAAGTCTAAATACAATAAATAAGAATAGAACAACGATTTAATAGGTTAGTGTGGACCGACAATTTTTTTACTTTTTTTTTTTCAACAATCAGATGATCAAGTCAATTTACGCATATCTCGATTAATTTTTTCTTAAGTTTGATTAAAGGCAAACTATTTATACTAAGATTAAAGTATTCATGAGATATAATTAGATATAATTTTTTCACGACCTTTTGCTCTAAAAAATTGACAAGTTTCGAACTCACAAGATTTGAATTTATTCAATTGTCCACCACAGAGACAGGAGAAGAGAAGAAAGTGGCATTTAGAGGAATTTGGAAACACGGAGGAGGAGGAGAAGCAGAGAAACATACAAAATCTACTCTACAGTCTTACAGACACTCTTCTCCCAATGCTTCCTCTAAATACGACTTCCTCATGGTCCTTCTTATTCTTTAATCGAATCAATTCCACCACAACCAAAACAAACAAACCCTAAAATCCAATTGTTATTTTCACCCATTCACTTAAAATGAAGTCTCTTCAACTGTGTTGTGAGTGTTGTTCAGTTGAAAGTAAGGTCCAATGATCACACCCCTTCCGCCACAATTCAAACCATGAAGTATGGTTGTGTATCAGTGTTGCTACACTATCTATGTAGGGAGAGGCCCCTTTTGCCTCCATTAAGATTTTTTTAAATTAAATACTTGTGTAGTTTAATCAGTTCCAAACTTGAGGTAACTAATCATATATTAGGTTGTGGCATTGAGACTTCTTTTGCACTATAATTTTGAGGTGGGCATGCCCATGTTATGTATTTGTGCTTGTGAACTTTGTTATGTGGTTATTGCACTAAGGTTCCTTTGTCAAATTACAATCCTGGTCTTCATTACTGTGGTATCTTAATGTCCTCAAGGGTCAGTAGTTTAAAAGTAAGAGGAAGACCATTGTTTGTGCAAATACCCCTTAGAAGGAATCTCCACTTCCATTTGACATGGTGCTGGATCATGTCTCATAAATACTAGTGTAGCAGAACTGGGATCCTAAAAGTTTGTGGTTAGATTGTTAACTCAAACTCCTTTGGCTTGCAGTTTGATTGTTGAACTTCATTAAGGATGATGAACATGATGTCAATTTTCTTCTTTTGCTTTATTTTCCCTCATGTGAACAGGTTTGAATTATGATCACAAAAAAAAAAAAAAAA